CCACCTGGAAATGTCCAGTGGGTGGAGATGCGCGTAGACCAAGGCCTCAAACTGACAATTCGGACGCTGCCCAGCCTCGAGATGATGGCACCGTCAACACAGGGCAGACCTTGGCATAAAGGTATCCTAACTTCCCATTCTTCCCAGTTAGAGAATTCAATCATGTTAAAAAAAAATAACAAAACCAACAAGTTTGAAACTGGCAAATTATTGGAACTATCAGTTAATAAATGCTGCTAAGTCCTCGGTCCTAAAATGTTGGGAAATGTCACTGCAAGCCCCAAACAAAAGTGGACACGTTCAGCCTCTCAAGGCAGACAAACAGCTACTGGTTTTAGTCAGGTCTCAGTGAAGACGTTTTCTCCACATGGATATTTTAATGAAGGAAAAGCTAAGCAAAATAACCGAGATGATACTGTTCAGTAGCAATGAGTCCCTTAGCTTGTCTGTTAGCTGTCTGCTCGACCCTTCCTGGTTCCTCACTGTTAAATCACTTTAGGCTCAACTAATTCCATTCGTTTATAGACCAACTGTTTCTTGTGTGTCAGTTGAATGGCTTCCTGTTTCCCCCAGTTCTGCCTTAGCCGGCTTTTTATATAATCCTCAGTAAATGGTAACCACAGGAAAACAAACCAGCATAAAACTGGGCTGCATATTTTCAAATGGCAAGTTCAGTGTTCACATCCAATGTGGGTGTCTGCTGCAGGAGGGACCTCTGTCTGTGTTGTCTGTCTGCTGGAGAGTCCTCTATGTCTGTCTGTCTGCTGCAGGAGAGTCCTCTGTGTCTGTCTGTCTGCTGCAGGAGAGTCCTCTGTGTCTGTCTGTCTGCTGTAGGAGAGTCCTCTGTGTCTGTTGCAGGAGAGTCTTCTGTGTCTGTCTGCTGCAGGAGAATCCTCTGTGTCTGTCTGTCTGCTGCAGGAGGGTCCTCTGTGTCTGCCGCAGGAGAGTCCTCTGTCTATAGGTGTCTGTAGCGGGAGAGTCCTCTGTGGGTGTCTGCCTGCTGCAGGAGGGGTCCTCTGAAGGAATCTTCTGTAGTCTTAGAGACACCTGGATGTTGACATTAAGTTTCAGTTATTTTGCCAGAAAAATGAAACAAATCCTCCTCCAAATTCTTTAAAAAAAAATCTTTGCTGGTTTCTGAGATCCCTTCTACTGTTCCCTCCACGCCTATCCCTAGTTCACCTGGACCCCAGTGGAGAGCCAGGGTAAAGCACCACATGCCTATAATTTGCTGCTGATAACTGGGGACATGGGGCCAAGTGGTGATTCTTTTAAAACAGTGCATAAGGGGAAGGAGAGGAGGGGAGAGGAAGGAGGAGAGAGTGAGGGGAGGAAGGGGAGGAGACAAGAGGGCAGGGGAGGGAAGGGGAGGGGAGGGGAGGGGAGAATGCTTGAGTCCTTCTGCGGCTGTAGAAATGGTTCAGCTGTTAAAAGGCTTGAGACTTTTTCAGACAATCAGCAGTCAGTTCCCAACATCCTGACCACACAGCTTACAGCCACGTGTAGCTGCAGCGCCTTCTGGACAACTTGGACACCCTGCAATATGTGTGTATTCTCTCTCTTACACCACATATAAAATTTTTAAACCGTTTTTAAGAAAAGACACTTGAAGCTCAATGTTGAGTGCTTATGTAGCACACACAAGGCTTTGGGTTTGATCCCCAGCACTGTGAAAAACAGATACTTCAAATCAAGTCAAATGAACAGTATTTACCTATCTGGATTTGAAAAGTTGTATTTTGTTTTGTATATACTGTAACAAGCTTGAAACATAAATAATTTTGAAGTGATTTCCTTTGTTCTACTTTAATAACATAAGTATTTCTAAAAAGGTTTTTAAACTTTACTGTTTTCTGACTGCCTTGGTCCTTTAGCACCAAGGTGCCCACAAGTTAGAATGAAGCCTATGAAGTGGCTCCATCTTCGGATCCTGGAGCAACCCAGAGCCTTTCTTAGGGTGTGCTTTTTTTTTTTTTTTTTTTTTTTTTTTTTTTTTTTTTTTAATTTTTCGAGACAGGGTTTCTCCGTAGCTTTTGGTTCCTGTCCTGGAACTAGCTCATGTAGATCAGGCTGGCCTCGAACTCACAGAGATCCACTTGCCTCTGCCTCCCGAGTGCTGGGATTAAAAGCATGGAGCACCACCACCCGGCCTTAGGGTGTGCTTTTAAGTACAATAACCATACCCTGGGTTGTCATACTTCAGTTAACAAGAACAGTTAGCCAGAAGAACAACTAACTACAGACACCAAAAAGCAAGGTTAGCACATTTAGAGATTTCCCACAACTGTGGGCTCGGATGGGTTAGGCCTTTGAAAAGATTTTGCAGGTGCTATCTACATGCTGAGTTTTACCGTCTGAATGGCACTTTCATCATGGAGTCAGTTGTGCTAAGGTCTGGGGCCCCATTACAAAAAATATTTAAACATTAAAAGAGACAAATACAGCTTGCCTGCCGTGGGGGCGTTCTCTTAAAGTCTAATAAAACTGGAGTGAGGGCAAAAGAAAACTAGTGGAAACATTCAAGACTTAACCGAGTTTCCCACTTTATAACTTCCCTTGTTCTGATACTCCCATGCTGGGGTCAGCTCAAAAGATGTCATGACCATGAATACTGTTTTCGGCATCTGGTGCCTGTGAGCAGCTCACTCTAAGAGGAACAAAGCAGCGAGCCCACCACTGCACGCAGGTCAGGCACGCATTTCTGTGAGAACTGAAACAGGTGAGCCCCTGGGAAAGTCGGCTGTTAGAGCGGCAACCACAGCAACACTGTCCGCTGGCTGGATGAGCTCTCCTGGTAAACTAGGTGCGTTACCCTCCTTGTGATAAACTACAACCCAGGCAGGCCCGGGACACACTCAGCGTGCTAGAGACATCGCTGCAGAGGATCTCAGTCTCACACTCTGGAAGTTTTGAATATCAAGATTAAGACAGCCTATAGCTTGATACAGTTTTAAGTTAAAATACACCTATTTATAAAATTCAAAGGCAAGAAGTGCTGCAGTGACTGACCTCCTGCGTGGGCCCCTGCGGATCATCCCACAGCTGACGCCTGGGACACCTGTACTGAGCACAGACCTGCCCTTACTGGTGATTCGATTCCATTGTAAGCAGTCATGGGAGGCACCTGTTCTTAAACGAGCAGAACTTTACTGCTGTAGGTTGTTACAAACAGAGTAAGCGTTAACGAAAAGGAAGTCTGCATCACTGAAAATCCTATTTCTCCCGACTCTTGGAACTCCAAGCTCATAAGGATTGAGGGACCCAAAAAATTACATCAGAAGAGAAAGAAAACTGAAGCAGTATGAAGTGAGCGTGAGCTCAGCGGAGCACTGCCTAGCGGGCCCACAGCCCTGCGCTACCCTGGCACCAGAGTCTGGGTGCATCACTGCAGTCATTACTAAGATCCAACCTAGCCGTACCAACTTCTCCTAGTAACACTTCAGTTAGGGAAGGAAAAAACCATTTGCCCTTTAAATATTCTGCTGCGTTGGAAAATATAAGAATATAATGAACAACAAAAATCTTGTTTTATATAAGCTGAGAGGTGATGGTGCATGCCTTTAATCCCAGGTAGGGAGGCAGATGGATCTCTGAGTTCGAGGTCAGCCTGGTATACAGAGCAAGTTCCAGGACAGCCAGGGCTATACTGAGAAGCCCTGTCTTTAAAAAAAAAAATCATATATGCTAAGAAAGTCAGACTGGGGAGATGCTCGGGAGTGAAGTGCTTGCTTTTTAAGCATGAGAATCTGAGTTCAGGTCCTCAGCACCCACAAAAAAGATAGGTGTGGTGGTGGAGACTATAACCCCAGCACTGCGGTGGCAGGCAGAAACCGGTGCTCTTGGGGTCTTTCTGGCTCGCCAACTTAGTCTAAATAGTGACTAGGTTCAGTGAGAAACCCTTTTCCAAAAAAATTACAAGGAAAGTCATCAACTTCCTTCTCTGGCCCCCAGAGGCACAAGCACAGTGAATATGCATGAGCAAGCAAAAGCACGCACATCTAAGCAGGCAAAAGCACACACATGTGAGCAGGCAAATGCACACACATGTGAGCAGGCAAATGCACGCACACACATGTGAGCAGGCAAAAGCATGCACATCCAAGTAGGCAAAAGCATGCACATCTGAGCAGGCAAAAGTACGCACATCTGAGCAGGTAAAAGCATGCACATCTGAGCAGGCAAAAGCATGTACATCCGAGCAGGCAAATGCATGCACATCTGAGCAGGCAAATGCATGCACATTCATTCCCCCAATGGGAAAATGGAATCTTGGGAGGAAGTATCTTATTTTTTGATTACTCTATAAGCATACTGACCTAACTAGAATGAATTGTTCACACCTAAATTACATGTTTTGGATATTATTTATATATGTTTGAGTATATAAATAAAATCTATCAAAGCATATACAAGATACAAATTAAATGTTTAACAAAATGGGAAAAACATACCTTTGTTACTTGGCAATCAATTCACAGCTGTATTATCTGATATGATCATTACAGCTTTATATAACGTCTGTTGCTCTGCTAGTGAGAACAAGATTTTATATTTCCACAGGTAAAGAGAATGTTTTAATTGCTGGGCAGGGGGGATTCTGGCATCAAAACACCTAATTGTATGAATTACTTATTAAGGCATAGCACATTATTTAGTCTTAGAGGAATTTACAATTAGTACCCTCATTAGTAAAAAGGTTTTTACTAGTCCATAAGTTTTGTTTCTTGAGACAGGGTCTCTCTATGTAGTCCTGGTTGTCCTAGAGTTCACTGTAGACCACACCCTTAATATATAACTTCTGTTTAGTCAAAGGCACTCACTTTTGTCACAAGACTAATATATGATTGTGTGTGTGTCTGTGCAGACATAGATACACTTTAAAGATGAACCAGCAGGGAAGTAGGTGGCAAGAGAATTCAGTGAGTTGAGTAAGCCTGTGTAAGGTAGGGTTGCTAATGGCTCCACACAGCTTCAATTAGTCAAAAAAAAAACCAAAACCAAAAAACAAACCACCCTACCTTGGGCTTACACATGAAGGTCTGGAAAACAAACAATACTTCTTTCCTTAGGACGGTGGGATGTTCGTGTTACTGTCCCGGGAACTGCGGACATGGATCCTAAGAGCTGTAACGCACCCTTGGGTCCCAGGCTGAATTCTGGCAAACATTTTCATCTTACCAAACAAACACAGCAGGTAGGGAACTCTGGCACAGTTGGGGTTTATCTGGAGTTTAGAAAAACAGCAACATATGTATCCTTAAACATTCCACTACTGGAGGGTTATAATGCACTTCTAAGACACGCCTTTATAGTATATAGAATGATAGACACCCGAAGCATGTTTTAGTCTCGGTTTTGTTCTCCAAATGTACTGAAAAAAATAAAGGAATATGCCTGGAAGAGAACTTCAGTACACTTACATAAGTAGAACAGTTCAATGTACCAAGCATTCAAAAACTCATTTATAGAACAGTAAACCGGAAAATACACTCTAGTACCCAAGAAACCCCCCCCCCGCCCCGCCCCTTGTCCCGGGCAGAAGCTGTGACCCTGGGCTTTCATCCTGTAGGTGAGAAGAAGGGACCTCTCACATAACTACCAAATTAAAAGTTTTATTGTCCAGGCCTAGGCTTTAAAGGCACTAGGTTTCCTCGGGTACTTCGAGGGAATCGGCTGTCACTGACCAGACCCCAGCTCCAAGACTGGAGCGCCGTAATGACAGCTCCGAGGCAGAAATCAGACGTAACTCTCTGCGGCACAGCTTGACAGGCTTGACACCCTGAAGCTGCCCGGTACTTCTCAGTGTCTGGAACTGGGACGGCGGTGGACTCTGCAGCTGTGTGAAGGGAGGGGTCCCTGGTTTATCGGCACTGCTCGGCACTTGGCCACTGGAGGGTGCTACTGAGCCGTGGACTGGAAGTGAGTCCGGGCTGCCCTCTGGAATCCGCTGGGGCGCCGGTTCCGTTTCTAAGCCGCTTGAAGAATTGTCTCCTTTTCTTTCTCCTCCGTTCGATTTTGTCTTTTCAGTTCTAGAGGCCCATTTTGATTCTTCAGAAAACGCCTCTTCTGGACTCAGGACTCCATCTCCAGCATCACGTTCTAAGGAGGAGCCACACAAAAAGCAAACATTTCTCAAAGCCAGGTACTTCTGGGACCACAGCCTAACAAACCACATCATTGTGACTGTTAGATGCGACGCTTTCAGACTTTGTTAATGACGTCTGCAAATAGACGTGTGGCTACGAACCAATCCTGACTCACATATAAACATCTTGAAATGTGAGTAACATTTTTTGTTTTTGTTTTTCAAGACAGGGTTTCTCTGTAGCTTTGGAGCCTGTCCTGAAACTAGCTCTGTAGATCAGGCTAGCCTCGAACTCACAGAGATCCACCTGCCTCTGCTTCCTGAGTGCTGGGATTAAAGGCGTGTGCCACCACCGCCCGGCGTGAATAACATTTTTTTTTCAACTCATTGACGTTGAAAAATCAAGTAGTGATTTTGGTACTCTCTAGAAACTGAGTACTTTGTGTGTCGCTGAAATCTTTTTAAAGAAATAGCTATTCATTATTTCTAGAGTTTAATGCAATTCAGTGTTTTGTGCACACGGATGTTTGCCTGCAAGTGTCTGCACACCTCATGTGTGGAGAGTAAAGAGGGCATCGCATCCTTTGGGACTAGAGCTGGAAATGACTGCGAGCTGCCATGTGGGGACTGGGAACCAAACCTGGGTTCTCTCAAAGATCAGGCATTACTTTTAACTGCTAAGCCACCTCTCTAGTCTTAAGAGTTGTGTATGTAAGTGTTTTGCCTGCATGTATGTATGGGTATCATGCGTGTGCAGTGCCTGAGGAGGCAAGTGAGGGTGTCAGAGTCCCTGAAGCTGGACTTACAGGCGGTTATGAGCCACCTGGCATAAGCGCTAGGAACTGATGTCTGGGTCCTTTGCAAGGCCAGTGAGCCCCCTCTCCATCCCTTCCACCTCCCTCTTATCTTTGTCCTCCGCTTGGCTGGTTACCGGTTAATGCCAAGTCCTGGCCAAGTTAAGCTTGTTCTGGCCTCATCTCCAGGCCTTCCTCATCACATACATGTATGCAAATCTGGTCATGTTGGCCCTCTAGCATGATAGCAGTATTCTGTATCCATCTGTAGTGTGTGATTTAGGGTCAAGTTATTTCCGAAATATTCATTGCTCCCCTATTTTGAGGTTTTATAAAAAGGAACAATGTATAACCTTCCAGGAACTTTTGGCTTTTGTAGAGTACTCTGTCATAGTAACTGTTCTATTATGAAGGGGCTAATTTTACATATGTACATTTAATTACTATACAAGGATATGTCTGAGTTTGGTCATGTTTTTAAATGTGGAGGGCATGCCTTAGGACTGACCTTGGAACACATGGTTTTACTTTCATTTGGACAATATTGTTAAAAATCTTGCTTAAAAAGATTTATTTATTTTTATTATGTGTTTTTTTTATTATGTGTTTTCATGTACATCTATGTGAGGCCAGAGGATTTCAGAGCCTCTAGAACTGGAGTTACAGGTGTCCATTAGCCACCTTGTGGGTCCCAGGTCCATGGCAAGAGCACCCAGTCCTCCTGACCACTGCATCTCCTGTCTACAGTGGGTGGCTGGTGGCAACCAGAGGCTGCTTTTCTATAACACAGGAAAATAACAGATGCTAGGGCTGCCCTAAGGGCTAAGAGCCAAGGACAGCAAAAGCAATTGCCCCATAGCAGGCAATTAATAAAAGCAATCATCCTGTAATTTTAACACAGCTTCTCTATTTAAACTTTATACATTTTAATGTTTAAAAGTCAAGTACATCCCTCAACAATGAATGAGAACATTAACAAACCTGTAGCTACAACCCTGACTAGTGACTGAAGTAAAAATGAACAATTCTGTAGCTACTATCATGTTGATAAACTCCAGGGCAGATTCACAAGTTTGAGTTGAGCCTAAGTCTCAAGATACACTTGCCGAGTATGTGTGCGGTGCAACACTCCTAGACAAGAGCACGTATGAGTGTGCAACACTCCTAGACAAGAGCACGTGTGAGTGTGCAACACTCCTAGACAAGAGGCAAGGGGTTCAGTTCATGAATTCAGTGCACAAGGAAGAATTAAGCACAGTATTTAAACTACCATAACATATTATTTGAAACAACCTTTATTTGGAGTTAAGATATTTTTTAAACCATGCTTTGGGCATATTATACTTTCATTTTCAAATTTGACTTGAATATTTTCCATAATTAATAAAGACATGCCCATAATTTAAAAAAAATCACTGGGGACAGTGGTGGTGCACTTTGCTCCCAGCACTTGGGAGGCAGAGGCAGGAGGATCTCTGTGAGTTCGAGGCCAGCCTGGTCTACTAGAGCTAGTTCCAGGACAGCTAGGACTACACTGAGAAACCCTATCTCAAAAACCAAACCAAACCAAACCAAAAAAAAAACAAACAAAAAAGGAAAAGAAAAACATTATGATTCTCTCTCTCCACACACACACACACACACACACACACACACACACACACACACACACACACACGTTCAATTCCCCAGTACTTCTGTAAACAGTTTGTCTACAGAGGTAAATTAGGTACCTCCCCTAAACAACTTGTCACTTGGGAAGTGACCTCAGCAGAGGTCTGGGAGGGGAGGCAGGGTTAGCATGTCAGGTGACACCTGAAGCCTTACGCTCTGCTAGTGAGAGCCGCCACGGGGACACTCCTCCAGTAGTCTCCTTCAGTTTCTTCTTAAGATCTCTGCTGGTTTTCTTATAGAAGTAAAGATCTTTTTCCAGCTGCTGGATTTTATCTTCATATTTTCTAAAGGTTTCTATAATGCCTTCTCCATCTTGCTCTATACAAAGCAAAAATTGACATTTAACCTTGGTTTACACAAATGACTCAAAACTATAGCTCAGAATAGCTCCAGACTCGCATTAAAGGGCCAGAAGCATTTATATGGATCTGTTGCCTGAAGGGATTTCCGCAGCCACAGTAAGGATTCTTCTAGCTATACAACTTTCTTCAAAGGATAGATCCCTAAATTCCCTTCTCTACCTACTCTCTGCCAGCCACTTCCTGCCCCGCTTCAGCGCTTTTGCCTTGGCTACTGAGACGACTTATCAAGAGCAGAAACGGGCATCCTCTAGAAAACAGCTCAAGCGCGCAGACCTCTACCCATATGACCTGGGGCTTGCGTCAGACTGTGGCTCTATGGAAAGTTATACGCCTGGGTTATAGGCCGAAGAAATACACAGTGAAAACCCACAAACAGAAAAGCTGTTAGTAATGAGTCTAGAAAGGTTAAATAACAAAGAAAAAAACAGTACAGAATGGGGGTGGGAGCTGTGTACCATTGTTCTACAATGATAAAATCTAGTTTTCTGACCTTCAGAAAACACTTCCAGACTTACACCCTCCTTTGTACAGTACATATAAAAAAATTGGTTTCCATCTTCTTTTGCTATTCTTATATCTTATTTAACCCATCATCTAGCTTTAAACATGACGTGCAAGGTCCCAGGGTCTAGCCTTCAGCACCAAAACCAAAAAAGCCAACCAACCAAAAGCCATATACCTTATCAGCTTAATTTCCCATATGAAAAAGCTGAAATTAGAAAATTCTCAAATTGTTAATAATTATAACTATAGCTATTGTGTATAATCTGTATGCATAACTATAGAAACAATTTGATTTTTATTGATTTCTTGAGACGCAGCATCATGAAAATCACGAGAATAAGAGGTGCTAGTAATGGACGCAGGCTTCACGCATGATCTGTAAGCACTCTTCCAAGTGAGCTATGAATTACTGCTGTGCGATCCCAGTCATCTCAAAACAACAGCGTTCTATTCCGCTCTCACTCAGACGTGACTACAGAAAGGAGGGGTGTCTGAGTGCAGTGGTTATGGGACCGGCCCAGGGAAGTCCTGTTCACTGTGCAGAGACACGAACACTGTGGAGTTAACCTGCTGTCGTTTCCTCAAGACCCAGATTTATGTTTTCCAATTTTCGGCTTCTTTCAAATCCCTTCAACCAATTGCAGCTCTGTGATCATGAGTGTCAGGGTTGAGCAGCCTGAATTAGAGCGGAAGCAGGCTCAGCTAGCAAGGTCTGTGCTGCCACAGCGCCTGCTTGGACACCAGCCCCCTCCTCAGGTAACGTGAGGCCAGACTACTGTGATAGCTCTCCCGCACCAGAATCTACTGTTGGACCGCTGCTGGCCACTAGTATTATGATATGTACCCATCAATTTTGATCTATGAGCTAACCTTAATGCATAAAATTTTCTAATCAACTAAAGTTGTAACAAGAAATAGAGTCGGGAGTTACAACAGAATCTATCACTTCGTCTGCACATGGAAAGGTCAGACCAACAACCACCCACCAGGATGACAGGCCTTCTTTAGTGCCGGGAGCAGGCAAAGGGGACGACACTTCGAGCATGGGTCATCTTACACCCAATGACATAAAACACGGTAGCCACGCATGTAAAGGAGATGACACGGGGCCTGGCTCCCTTCCTCAGCACAACCCTAACCCAGCCCACCCCCAAGGACTTGCCTTTGAAGTGATTCAACAACAACTGCATCTTTTGCTCGTGCTCCTTCTGCTGGAGGGTCAGTCTCCGGTCACACTGCAGCTGCAGGTGCTCCAGGGCAGACTCTAGCTCGTGGATCAGAGTGTCCTGCTCCAGAACCTTCATCTTCATCTCCTTATGCTGCAGCTGCTGTTTGCGGTCAGCTTCTCGCAAATTAATCACCTATCAAAGACGGTGTCTGACCTTTTAAGAAGGTATCTTACATAGTCTGACACAATAGATTAGTCTAGTTTTCTTGGACTACATGAAGTTGGAGCTACTTAACTTCAGTAAGATCTTAATGCCTTTTAAAGGTGTAGGATACATGGCAAATGTTTTAAAACATAACTAGAAAATAGCCTAACAACCTTTTGAATTTGTTGGAATTCTGAACTGGTAAGATTTTCATTTTCAACATAATATTTTACTAATAGTTGCCCTTCTAAAACTTATTAGATAAGATCTCTGAGTTCAAATTTTATAATTCTTTTTCTTGCTTGGTTTTTCTTTTGGAGACATGGTTTTTGCTATATAGTCCTGGCTGGCCTCGAACTTGTCTCTTAAGTGCTAGGAATATATATTCACGTGCCAGCATGCCTGGCTATAATTCTGTAACTCTGTTCCTCTAGTCCGCATGGATATTGGGGATGCGTTTATTCTTGCAGCATCCACTCTGTCCCAGCTACAGAGTATTCTGCCCTGAAGCACAGCGGTTCCCCTTCAGGCCATGCGTGTGTTTGCTGTGGTCTGCTGTGCCATAGGAAGCAGAGCACCGAGGACAGCGTCTGTGCAGTAGATCCTGACAGGACTCTCAAACAGGAGACTGACCAATATTTTCGCTCATCTGTTTCGAGATGGTCTCACTGTGTATCCCTGGCTGCCCTGGACTCGCTCTGTAGATCAGACTGGCCTCGAACTCACAGATCCACCTGTCTCTGGCTCCCAAGTGCTGGGATTAAAAGTGTGCACCACTATGCTGAGTTTTGCATTCACTTTCTATTTTACACATAGAAATTTGTATTTTACAATACAAATTGAAAAAGTATTTGTCTTACTTTGTATCAACTGTTGGATATTCTCACTAATTCAATATATTTTTAGGGAAAATGGTACATATTTTAAATGAAAAAAATAATAGAGAAAATAAGAATATAGTTCTCAGTGATACAAAGTATCCCAGTATCAGAAAACTGCCAGCTCTGTAAGATAACCTGATGAAGCAATCCAGATTAATAAAAGCTGCTACTGTCATGGCCACCGGAGCACCACTTCATCTCCAGTCAACTCAGACATCACGGTCGGAAACACACCAGGTTCCTATTCACAGTGATGGAGGAGAGACAACCTGCAGGACCCTAGACTTCTCATGAATAGCATTTATGTTTAGAAGCAAGAAATAAGGAAGTATATAAATTAATTTGTCTAAGAAAGACCTCTTATCAAGGGGACTTGAGTTTTAACCACCTCACAAAGTTAGGTGTATCTGGATAATTCACAGCGGTTCTGAACACGCTCAGCACCATAAAGAACAACGGTACTTAAGGCTAGTCAATCGCCAGCTCTTCCAGCCCGGCACTTTTAGTTCAGAATAAGTAAGGGTCCCTGACCCTCTTTTGTAAGAGAAGTAATGTTCCTTGGACACATACCTTTTTAAAATATTTGAAAAGAATAGCTCTGATCTCGGTAAGGTTCAGGCAAACTAGTTTCCCCACGACATCTGCCTCGCTCTGAGAGAGCGTCTGGAATGATGCTCGAAGCGAGTTCTGGCGACTCTGGATGCTTTCGTTCTTGAATTCAATTGCGGCTTCCAAAGCTTCTATTCCTTCTTCAAGTTGGAAAAGAAGATGTTCTTCCTAGGGACCACAGAGAGCATTTATCTTAAAAACAGTTATAGCCTGAGCTCTGTCGTATGCTTACCTCAGGTCTTATCATGTGATAGTCTCTCCACCTAAGGAACTATTCCCTGACTCTCACCATAGGATGGGTCACTTGTCAGTGTATAACAGAGATGTCAAATCTCCACCACAAACATTACATAACAAAATGGAAGAAACAAAAGCTAAGTGGGTTCCATGATGTTCCAAGGCTACGCAGCAAACATTGACTACCTAATCCAGAGGATACACCTGAACATGATCTCAGCTCACAGAATCTGCAATACTGACATCTCCCTCCATAGTCCTCAAGTGCATTTAAATGTAGAACCCCACTGATGATGGGGGTAGTATTGTACCTCCAAAGACCTGGCAGAGCAGACAGTGCTAGGTCAGGAGGAGGGGACACTGCACTGGGAGCCAGCGGCTGAGAACTAGCGACCAGCAGAGTCTGGAAGAGAAGGAGCAGAGGTGACAGAGTAGTCAGGACTTGGGACTGGGACACCTCCCAGGATTCCTATGAAATGAACCAACTATAGAAGCATTTGCCTAAAACTCCAGCACTGGGAAGGCTGAGGCAGGAGAATGATGAGTTCAAGATCTGTTTTAACCCCCTTCTGAGAAAAAAAAAAAACCCTCCCATTCAATGTTATTTTAAATGGTGGCAACATAGCATCAGATAATCCACAGCGTGTGTCAGAACAGAAAACCGGCCTTGGAGTTGTCCAGATTAAGGCTATCCAGAAGGAAGGAGGGGAACTCGGATCCCTGGTGACCGAGAGGTGGCTGTCTCTGTGTCCTGTGTCTGCACTGAGGTCCCCAGAGCAAGCTTCTCCAGGAAGACGGCTTTGCCCACACGCACATCTGCTCAGCACGGTATTTATCACATGGTGTAAACTGTTTGTTGGACTTAATGAAAATTTAAAATTTTCATATGTCTGATTATTTTTTCCATCTCTCCTGAGGGTTTTTCAGTGACTCGAGAATCAGATAGTGACCTCATCTAGCAGGAAGTCGAGCACTCACTTTAAAAGGCCATCTTATTAAATCTTCTGGGAGAACAATATGGGGAAAAACATTCAACTGCCATTTCTCTGGGCTAACCATCCTTTGATTATATAATAATTGTTCTAAAATAAACAAAATGATATTTTGAGAGATTAATTTTTACAACGTTGAAATTAGGTATATCTGTGTACTGTCTGTGCACGTGAGTGCAGATGCCCTGCAGAATCCAGACGAAGATACTGGAGGATACTGGCTGGACTGGAGCTGGAGTTACAGGCGGCTGCAAGCTATCCCATGTGGGTGCTGGGAACTGAACCCAGGTTCTAGTCACTGAAGCCATCTTTTCAGCCCCAACAATCACATTTTTCAGAAGAAAGAAAACCACCTTAAATACTCCTGAGAGGTTCTTAGGTGAATGAAGAAAAGGAACTTAGAAATAGAAGTGAGTTATCTAAAGAGAACAGTCTGACTTTTTAATTGATACTCATATTTTATCACAAATATCAAAGGTGTGCTGAGAACTATTTAGCATAATTTTAGTTTTCATAGTTTTGGATATAAGTTAAGGAATGGCTAAGAAAACATGAGGTATTATAACTATGGAATCCTGAGACTACCACTCTAAATACCTGCTGCCCACAGGCCAATGACATGGCTCAGTGGGTAAAGGCTTTTGCTGCCAAGCCTGACTCAAGCTTGTTCTCTGGCATCCACATGACAAAAGTAAAGAACCAACTCCCCAGCTGTCCACTGACCTCCGTACATGCGGAATGGCATACATGCATGTACGCGCATACACGTGTAAGTGTATATGTTCACGTGCTCACACACACCCCACATGAAACTTTAAAAGAGTGAAGAGGTGAAAATACAATGACCACCAGCCACAGTTGTGTGTCCCTCTAACTCAAGGTAAGTGGCCGTGGTACACCGTCACAGCACACACTTTTAAACTCTCATCTGAACTGAAGATGTTGATAAAGATTCTGAGAGAGCAGGTCGGGGTGAGTCCTAAGGACCTACTTTTCTAATAGCTTCCCCGAGAACAAGGGCCTAAAGAAATAGTCTCTAAATGCTTTAAATTAAAAACTCTCAATCAAGAAATAAAACAAAAGACTAACAAACGTTTTCATGTGAGTATTATACGTACATTTGGGATGAAAGAATGTTTAGACAATAAAGAAGGAACTGAAATTTAAAAGGCAGAATAGACATAAAGGTTACTATATCTTCTTCCTGTACACCACTGACTAGAGAACAGCTCTGAATTATTAGCAAACTTCCGCGTTCATCTTGTCATCTCCAGCAACATGGTAGCTATGCAAAGCGTTAATAAAATAAGCCTCATACAGAAAAATGAAGACGAAGCATTTTCAACGCACTTGAGCAAGATTAAAAAAAACCTGACAACCTACAAACAGGGAGTAGAACAACGGTCAGCAAAACTTTAAGTGGGGAGGATAGTTAGAGGTTAGCTGGCACCCCGAAACAGATCTAGTTCTCATGTTCCCAGTTAGATCTGTCAGCCTGACACTGCGAGTCACTTGAGAGGGGCATCTTAAGCAGGGGTTTCTGAGACAAGGCCGACCTGGGGATAGACCTGAGCGGGACTGTCTTGACTGCTCACATGTCTGGGCTGTCTACAAAGTGAGCAGAGGACCAGCCTGCACACATGCCAGCAAGCAGTGCTCCTGCATCTCTCTGTTTCAAGTTCTTTCTCATGCTCCTATCCTGACTTCCCTGAGTGAAGGGCTGCGACCTGTGAGCTGAATAACCTTTCCTTCCAGGAGCTGCTTGGCTTTACTAGCGGCAGAAAGGAAGCCAGTACAGAGACTAGCAGCAGAGGAGAGCTGTGTGATGGACCTGACCACAGTTTAGAGAACGATGTAGAAGGAAAGTGTGTAACTTTATTCTGCAGCAGCCCAGAGCTAAGGGACTTTGGACTTCGTATTTTCATTTTCATTTATATGTATATACACGTCTGTGCGTGTGTGTGCCACGTGTGTGCAGGTACTCCCAGAGAACAGATGGTTCCATGAGTTCCCCTGGAGCTGGAGTTACAAGTGACAAGCAAGCCACCTGAAACGGGTGCTGGGAACTCCAGTCCTCTGGACGAGCAGCCAGTGTTCTTAACCACTGAGCCATCTCTCCAGCCCTAAGAGACTTTGAGCTCCTCCTCCTCTTTTTTTAATTTTTTTCTTTTGTTTTTTTTTGAGACAGGGTTTCTCTGTGAAGCCCTGGCTGTCCTGGAACTCACTCTGTAGACCAGGCTGTCCTTGAACTCACAGAGATCTGCCTGCCTCTGCCTCCTGAGTACTGGGAATAAAGGTGTGTGCCACCACCACCCAGTCTTAAATATGTAAATTTTAATTTTTGTATTTCATCAAAAAATGGAAGTGTTTTGCTTCCAATGAATTGTTGGTCAATCTGCTACTAAAATGATCTAATGTCTATCATTTCTTGTAAACAATATAATTAGAAAAAATGACTGTAAAAAGAGAAAATAATTTGAAGCAATTTAAAAACATCAAAATTGCAAGCTATCCCATACCTATTCATGTCCTGGTCACTTTAGAATCTCCTTCTGATAATGCGCCACTGGCGACCTATTGAGAGTGTTGACCTTGGCTTTAGAACACAGCAGTGAGAGCAGAGGCACTTCCACACTATGCCAAAGAAAGCCAGAGAAGCTTGCAAGGCTCAGCGGAACCCCGCTGGGTTCCACCTGGGATGGTATTGTTCAGGGAGTGTTGCCAATGTTCTGCCACAGAATTCCACAGGGAACAGAAGCCATTTCCTGTGAGAGCGACCTCACTTGCACCCAGGCCTCCCAAGTGCTAGGATGTGGGTACGTACTAACTACCACGGTTTCACTGTTTACTAGCAAGGGGCTCTGCCCTCTGCAAACAGGTTTCTCACTTCCGGCTGCTCTACCTTGTAATGGCCCTATCAAAACATTCACCATGTTTTTCAAAATCCAACTTATGGTTGCAATCAGCCATGGCAGCGCTAAGACAGCTTCCCCGGATGACCCCTGCACTACTGTGTGTAGATAATGTAACTATAGCTTTACTATGGCACCCGTAATCATCTGTTTAATGTTCTTTAGGGATTCAGTTTCTAATATGTCCATCTTCCCCACGAGAATATGGATTCTCAGAAGAAACACAACCTAGCAGTTGGCTTGCTTTGTTTTCCTCTACATGTTTTCCTAGTAGCGGTCCTGGGCAGACAGAATTCCTTAAAGCTTGCTGTGTTTAGGTGCTTATCTGAAAGTTCGGAGCTCTAGGGGCTCTAAGTCATAAAATAGTGAACAGATGTGTCCCCTCAGCTGACAGACTGCTGTCTAAGGGAGCCTGAATTCCCTTCATCAGTTCATTCAACACTGGATTTACAGAAGACTTACATGGTACCCTTCCCGCTGTTTCATCAGGAGCCCCTCTAATGCCCCCTCTTGCCCAGGCTAACACATAAGGCACAAGGCTCCTGAAGTTCACCTTCTTTCGGCAGCTGCCCTTGCTTTGGCAATGATGGCCATAACGATAAATATTCAGAGAGAAGTTTCAGGACATTAGGATCATTTCCCACTGAAATAAAACATGTTCTAAAGGATCAAGTCAATTCATTCATTGACAGCCAATGAATGAATCAATTCTTACATAAAAAAAAAGAAAACAGCAAGGGTAGTGATGGTGCATGCTTTTAATCCTAGCAGTTGGCGGGCAGAGGCAGGTGGATCTCGAGTTCAAGGCTAATTCCAGGATAACCAGGGCTGCACAAAGAAACTCTGTCTCAAAAGTCCAAAACCAAGGGGCTGGAGAGATGGCTCAGTGGTTAAGAGCATTGCCTGTTCTTCCAAAGGTTCTGAGTTCAAATCCCAGCAACCACATGGTGGCTCACAACCATCTGTAATGAGGTCTGGTACCCTCTTCTGGCCTGCGGACAGAATATTGTATACATAATAAATAAATAAATATTTTTTAAAAAAAAGTCCAAAACCAAAACCAGATGGGAAGAGCTATATGACCTCTCAGATGAAAACTGTAACTGGAAGGTATCTTACTGGAATTTGTATTTTCATTTGAATGGTGGAGAATTTTCTCTGAAAAAACAGCCTTTTTTCAGTCAAGTTTCTATAGAAAGAATTAACTCTCAATGTCATAGGCATGTTTTATGTAGTGAACTACCCAGGTGACAGATGAGTGGAGGGCCAAGCCTGACCCTTGAGTCCCACATGGTAAGAAGGGAGAGCTGACTCTTTCACATTGTCCTGACCCCACAACACACCATGGTTTGTGCACATGGGCGCATCCCTCAAAATGTGAGAGAGGAAAAACAGGTTATGTGCTCTCCTTGAAAGACGAATGGGAGAGGCTTTCCTGTGATCTGTGATTTCGGGTGAGAATCAGCTGAGCAGGCGTGCACAAGGGATGTTGAGTACTGGTTCCCTAGTGCCACACTCAAGGGACGTGTGGATTCTCTAGTGCCTGGCGATCCAGGAGGGTCCGTGCGGAATGCCATTCTGTGAGGACATCTGTCTCCCCAAGCATGGCTTACAGTACCACACAGACGCCAGACGAACTCATTAGCTGACACAGTCACAACGGTTTAGCAGGTTTATGATCACGTGACCCACATCACTCGTCATAGGACAGCTCCAGCTCGAAGGAGTACTGACTTACTTTGGGGGACAGCACTCTGCCACTCTGAAGCTTCTCATCCACACTGTCCCTTTGTCGCTGGAGCTGATCCTTTTCTTTCTGGAGCGCCTGAACCTGCTCTGAGATCTTTATTTTCTCCTCGGCTGTGCAGCTCTCAAGTTGCAAACTTTTCTCCGACAACTCTTGCTCCAACGAGCTCAGGCGATCCGATATTTTCAGACAATCTATGCTTAAGTCCTAAAAGACACAACCACCAGTAGAAAGAGAGTTACAAGAAATTCAGGTAGCTTAGAAAACAGAAAAAAAGATCAATAAGATACTGAATGGTTCTATTTTTATTTTTTATTTTCTTCCATAAACTTTCTCAAGGGATCCATTAACTAAAATCTTAAATTTAAAGGTTCTTTAAAGATATATGGGTTTGAAGTATGAAGTTATGGGGGCCAGGGAGGTGGCTCAATCAAGAGCACTGGCTGCTCAGGCAGGATGGCCTTTCAGTTCCCAGCATTCATAAGACAGTTAATAATGTAACCAGTCCCAGGGAATCCGGCGCCCTCTTCTGGCCTCCTTGGGCACTGCACACACAAAAAAAGATTTGTTTATTTGTTATGTATACAGTATTCTCAGTATTCTGTCTGCATGTATGTCTGCAGGTCAGAAGAGGACCCCAGATCTTATTACAGATGGTTGTGAGCCACCACGTGGTTGCTGGGAATTGAACTCAGGACCTTTGGAAGAGCAGGCAATGCTCTTAACCACTGAGCCATCTCTCCAGCCCATGGAAAGCAAATTACTTAATAAGCTCCTGATTTACCTTTTAATTTTTCTAATTTTTTTATGCTTAAGGGTGTTTTGTCTGAATGTATAGTTGTGCTCCATGTGTATGCCTGGTGCCTAAGGAGGCCAGAAGAGATTCCCTGAGACAGGAGTTGTATAGAAATGGTTGTAAGCTTCCATGTGTGTGCTGAGATCAAACCTCGAACCCCTGAAGGGGCAGCCAGTGCTCTTAGTCTCTTAGCCATTTACCCATCCGGATTTCCCTTTTAGAGAGAGCATATCCCAGAGGCAGAGAAAACTGACAAGCATGATACCTGACTAGATCGCAGCTTCTTATTTTCCAGCTGGCTCTTCTCCTGGAGCAGGGCTTCCTTCTTAGAGACAATGGCTTCACGTTTTTTCAGGTCTTCCTCCAGCATCTCTAGTTCTTGGCGTTGGTTCAAAACTTTCTCTACTTCTTCATCTAACCATTTCTTTTGCTCATCCAATTTCTATATTAAAAGAAACACTATGGTTTGTTGCTCCCCCACCACAAAATTATACCATTTCAAGAGGCTGAAACTTAAAATGAACGCTACAATTATCAGAGCAGTTCCTGTTCCCATGGCTCTGGTGATTCTGAGAGCATGCTGCTGTGTTGTTTTGTAGGGAGTTATAATATAACACTCCAGCTATTTCTGCCTGACAAAAGCATCACGGTTTTCTTCACGTCTGTTAAGATCACTGCTGCAGAGACCAGGCTCCCACTGGCAGTTGCTCTCTCAGCCTGCCACCCCCAGCTACTCGATGGACTGCATGGTCAGCTCCCTACAGCCAGTTCCCTATGCCGCCTGGCCTGCAGACGGCATTCGATACAAGGTCAAATGAGTAAGTAAATAAATGCCTTATTCAATCAACCAATGGAATAAATACTCCATGGAAAAGAAATTGACTTTGTAGATTGTCAACTTCAATGGCCACAAAACAAAACGAAGGGTGGGAGGGCGTACAAAGCGTGATAGTATTCTGTTAGACATGACCAGGAGCAAGTAGAGACATACATAAAACACGACTAAAACACATGCCATCACAAGCACATTGAAATGTCTTTAAATCACTAAAACAACAAATAAACAGAGATGTCAACAGAGCACTGTTTTCCGGTCTCTCCTGGGCCCCATAGAAAGAACTAGAAATCTATACTAAGACAGTGAGAAACCAGACACGGGGTCCCATGCCTGCACTCCAGAGCACGAAGACCAGAAGTTCAGGGCCATCCACCTACACAGGAAAGTTTCAGAGTAATCTGGGCTTACCTGAGACCCTGTCACAAAGCAACTGCACAAAGACCACAAGGTAATAAAAATGCAGGAGAAAAGGGAGCAATGTAGCCGAAGCAAAAGAGATGCAAAGGCAGCCAAATCTCAGAACAGACCTATGAAGTATGATCCTGTAAGCACTGTCAACCCACACCACACGGTACCTGTTCAAACACCTCAGGTTAGCCTCCAGGAAAAGGCCTTAGGAATCCACAATTAAGTTCATATTTATAGCATCTCTCAAGTGTGAGTGGGGTTTCCAATAGACAAAAAGACAACTGTTGAAGATATTTCTGAGTGTAAATGGTATCTGTGGGAATAGGGCCATGCTCTAAATGTTACTATTAAAATATGTAAAATGTAAATATTTTCAAAATTTAAATAGATGCATTTGTATTCTGAGTATGATTACAATTTTAACTACACTGTTTTTCTTATGTAAATATTTTTAATTTCTTTGACGTTTGAATTTAGTTTACAGGTTTTGGTTTTATTTTAAAGTATAACACAAAAATACTATAATATGTTATAGTACATACATAATTTGGTTCTGTTTGAAAGTAGAGCTCTGGATTTTAAAAATATACCTGTCTGAGAAGACATCTGTCTTTAATGGGACTAAATATAATCTAGAACATGGATTTCATACCATATTTTAAAAAATCATTTCTGCCAACATAAGATGATAACACATTTCTGGATGAGAAATAATTTAATAACATTTTTGAAATAAATACAGAACATTTTACAAACAAGCAACAAAAAATCTAACATTTGAAGATTTTATTCAGAATCTGCTATTTTTTAACCTACATTGAGGCTCTCTCTCATCAAATTGAGGAGAATTAGAAATACTGAACAGAGCTGACCAACCTGGACTTGGTCCACACCTCTAAAAGGACCTTTTCTTCTGTTCGAGTTAAGTCCATCGAGGTCCTCAGCCTTTGGGGTCAGACCTTCTCCTTGCCCGGTTTTTAACTGCAGGTCCTGCACACAGAGAAATTAAAACGCCTTATTCACCTTTACTCCCTGCCTCTCGTTAATACTCAGAAGAGCATTCTCTCTCTGCTCTCTCCGCTTCCCTCATCCCTTCCAATGCTCGTCAGACCCCACAGCCACATGTACCCTGCTGCGTTTACACCCACCGTCTTAGAGGGGTTCTCAGCATTCACACGCCTATTACAAGAGCAAAATATGATGAAGAGTGAGGCTAGTTTAGCTCCAAGGCAATAAGGTCAGGGTTTGATAACGAAACTGAAGCTTTCTCATTTTGTGCTACAGATTTCTGCGTGTTTTTCTCTTCCTTTCCGAGACTGTGGCCCTCACAGCCACCTGCCATGCCCACCTGCCGCACTGTGTCTGAGCTGGGAGTAGGAATACCAGCCTGCAGTGCAGAATCGCTCTCGGGCTGGAGCAGTGGCTTGGTAGTTAGGAGTGGGTGCTGATCTCACAGAAGACCTGAGTGCCCAGAACCCATGTTGGGGGGCTCACCACTGCTGTACCACAAGCTCTGGGGGATCAGGTGTCTCTGACCTCTGGGGGACCTGTGCTCACAGGCACATACACACCCAAATATACAGAATTAAAAATGGTAAGCATGTTAAAAATGGGAGCCTACAGCTTGAGAAAAGCCTTGTAAGGTCAGACAGACTCAAGCTTTGTTGAGAGCACTCCCTCCACGCCTGCAGGACTGAATCGAGACGCCCGATGCTCATGGTGTTCCTCTACTACTGACCCTGGGAGTCAGGAAGGAGGCCGTGGATGAGATGCTTCTCATGTGCTAGAGAGCAACTCAGGGAAAGAAACATGGGAGGAAGAGACTAAGGGGCCTGGCCTTCTAACTCAAGAGACCTAAGGATTATTTAAATTTTCAGAGTAATTTGAGCAGATATTTGGTTATATGTAGGCTTGTTACTGACCTACGATGGAGAAGCATAGAGGATGAAAGCGTGAGTTACTTTCACAGCGATTCCACCTCATAATTTTTTTTATCTACTGACTTCAATCGGTTAAATTTTGTGCTTAGCAGAGCATAGTTTACACTTATACTCTTACTGCTTGGGAGGCTTGCTATGAAATAGTCCTCTTGTACACTGTAAAGATTTGTCACTTAAATTGGTTTAATAAAGTGCTGTTTGGCCAGTAGACAGACAGAAAGTATAGATGGGGCGAACAAACTAAGGATGATGGGAAGAAGGGCAGGTCAGGAGTTGCCTGCCAGACACAGAGAGCAGGAGATGAATATGCCATCCTAATAAGGGTACCACCGTAAGAGCTAGGCTGGGCATGGTGGTGCACACCTTTAATCCCAGCTCTGGGGAGGCAGAGACAGGTGGATTTCTGTGAGTTAGAGGCCAGCCTGGTCTACAGAGTGAGATCCAAGACAGCCAGAGAAACCCTGTTTCAGATAATCAAAAAGGAAAAAGAAATAGTTTTTTTTAAGCCACATAAAGATGGAAAACACACAGAGAATCTGGATACTGTATGTTATTGTGTTGTCTTTGAATTGTTTGACTTCTGAGGAAGGAACAACAGCTGCTAAAAGACATTTGATTATAAATGCTGCTGGGTTAAACCAAAATATATATTTAAAAATATCTTGACTTCAAAATATAAGTCAAAAGATATGCTACTTTGGGAAAGACGTTTTGCTTTTGTTTTCACAGGAAATGAGAGGTTGTGGATTCATTCTGCATAAAGAAAAATCAGGTTTGATCAAGGAAGAACCCCTGAAAAGTCTCCAATAGGAACAGATGTCCCAGATGACCCAACATCTCAAAGCACCTGTGTTGCTGCTTCCTCTGAGCTCTGCAACCAGAACAAGCTTCAAGACTGCTGGCTGAGATGATTCAGCCTCACAGACTCCTCCAGTCAAGACTTGAACATAATCCTAAATTTTCTTTGGGTCCCCATAAGATTATCAGTGCCCCCAGTCAACAGGAAGTAGCCTAGAAAATTAGGCCCACATTCCCAAAAAAAATGGATTATGAATGTTTGTCTTTATTTAGTGTGTTGGTTACAAGTTCTTATAAATAATGATCAGGAAAAAAATCTAAACTAAGGAGATTAGATTCAGAGTTCTTGTTTTGAAAAGAAAAAGAGGTGAAATGCCATGGGATAATGCTTGTACATGGTAAAGATTTGTCACTCATATTGGTTTAATAAAACACTTACTGGCCAGTAGCCAGGCAGAAAGTATAGGCAGGGCAACCAGACTAAGAGAGTTCTGGGAAGGGGAAAGGCAGAGTCAGTCACCACCCATGCCCAGAGGAAGCAAGATGAGAATGCCTTATTAAGGAGAGGTACCAAGCCATGTGGCTAAACATAGACAAGAATTATGGGTTAATTTAAGTTCTAAGAGCTATTTAATAATAAGCCTATCTAGGCAAGAGGCATAGACAGGATTTCCAGGCAGAGAAAAACTGAGAAGAATCTGGGCATGCAGAAGATACCAAGAGATACAGAACAAGTTGAACACACACAAATGAGAAGAGGTAAAGACATCACTTGGTAGAATGCAGATTAGTTTAAGTTATAAGAGCTATTGGGGGCAAACCTAAGGTAAGACTAAGCCTTCATAATTAAATCCAAGTCTCTATGTCGTTACTTTTGGGCTGGCCATCCAAAGAGAGTCCAACAAGAAAGCTTGCTACATTTGTCCCTTGCAGAGACAGCACGGAACAGGACTTCTGTAAACTCCATGTAAGAAGGAAACAGGTAGGTATAACTAATAAAGCCCAGCACCACAGCACAACCCACAATTTTAGACATTCTCCCATATTTCTTTGCAAAAGCTCAGTATGGTGTCTGTCTATGACTGTAACCAAAGCACTCTGGAGGCTGGGGCAGGAGCACATGCTGTAGGCCAGCCTGAATGACAGAGACACGCTCTGTCTCAAAGCCAAGCAAAAGCCAAATCTTCATCACAGAGATGCGGCTCAGGTGGCCGGTGCAAGCCTCATCCATAAAAGACCCTGAGTTCCCAGTCTAGTGCAGCTAAGACAAAGCAGGAAAGACGAGCCTGTGAACAAGCCATTCTATGCTCTGGAAATGGTTTAGACAAGTATGAAGTGGACAGACTGACTAAGTTATCTCCTTTTGGATTGAGCATGGTTCTTTGTTTTACAGGAACGAATATAATCTTACTACACTTGGAGCAATCTGTTTCTTTTCCTGGAATACCTACACTGAACAATTACTGCAGAGTGTAAAAGTTCAAGTTGTAGGTAGAGTTTCATTTCAGCAGGTTATAGCATGGATTTAGACAGCACTGTGACTGAGGTAAGCGTTGGCCTGTGTTACGTGAAACCCCCAAAGCACAGTCTGACAGGCAGGGCTGATCCTTATATGGATGGAAGAACAGAGACCAAGACCCTGAGTTGCTTACAACAGAGACAGAATTAGAAACACTACAAACTGGCAACCGACATTCTGGAAGACGGCAGTAACACCCACTCTCAGGCTGCCCTCTATTTTTTTTTTTTTTTTTGGTTTTTTTTCGAGACAGGGTTTCTCTGTGGCTTTGGAGCCTGTCCTGGAACTAGCTCTGTAGACCAGGCTGGTCTCGAACTCACAGTCAGGCTGCCCTCTAGAACCTGCTCCAGGGACAGCTGGAGGGCACTGCCCTCCAAGGTGGTAGGCAATGGCAAACACCATTTTCAGCAGCAAAGAAAGAAAGGGAAGTTTGGAAAACAGAAGAGAGGAGAAAAGTGGGGAGTCTGTCCTAGAGGGCCTGTCCCTGACTGGTTAAGGACAACTACAGCCTACAGAATGACAGAGCAGGACAAAGGCAAGCCTCAGAAACTTCACAGGTGGGCTGGAGAGATGGCTCAGTGGTTAAGAGCATTGCCTGCTCTTCCAAAGGTCCTGAGTTCAATTCCCAGCAACCACATGGTGGCTCACAACCATCTGGAATGAGGTCTGGTGCCCTCTTCTGGCCTGCAGACATACACACATTGTATACATAATAAATAAATAAATAAATAAATAAATAAATAAATAAATAAATAAAATATAGATAAATAGATAAATAAATAAATATTTATTAAAAAAAAAGAAACTTCACAGGTAGTTCTGTAAGACCAAGGGTGTGAGGGAGGAGGAAGAAAGGAGGGGGAGGAAGAGGAAGTGCTTGCAGCAGACTACACTGGCAGAGGGAAGGAAACCAGGAAAACCCTCTCTTCTCAGCACTCAAACAGCACTGACAAAAGTTAGAGGCAACGGTCCCTCCTGAGATGATGTCTCACTCCGAAAATCCAAAATAAATGTCACAGGGCTGTATTCTGAGATCTGAGCTGGAGAATACCTCTAAGTAAAGAGGGAAACTTTCAACCACACAGTCTTCCATGAGGTGGGGATGTGACCTAAGCCAGAGAGCCCAGTGGCCCACAGACAGGTGCAGCACCCATGCTAGGCTATACAAGGGACCATACAGAGCAAGCCCAGCACCCGCGCTCATATGCAGACTTCAACTGTCAGGGCCAGCACCTGAGCACAGCTAGTGATTCTCTCTCCTTCATGCTCACTGCCCCCCTCAACTAATCTCTAGCTGCATTCAGCAGACCAGATGGGTTTGTCCTGTCCGCTCCCCTCCCGTCTGCTGAGCTATTCGGGGTGTCTGGCCTCTGCCCCCCACCTTTAGCTGTCCACTCCCCTCCCCGTCTGCTGAGCTATCCTGGGTGTCTGGCCTCTGCCCCCCACCTTTAGCTGCGTCTCACATCCCTTTTTTTACTTCTCCTCTGGGTTCCCCTCTGTTCTGACACTCACCCTGAGTGCAGTCTTCTGCCCCTCCCTAGCCCTGGGACCCAGGATTGAGGATGCTGGGCTACCTTGTTCCTTTACTCTTCCCAATCTCTAGTTCGGGAGCTAAGTTTTTTGGAGGCAGGATCTCAAGATACAGCCTATTTTGACCTTGAATTTCCAATCCTCCTGCCTCAGCCCCTTGAATGTGGGAATTCCAAGCCTGAGTCATTAGATCCAGCTTTCTT